ACAGAGAGAGATTTTTTTCGATGTTAGAGAGAGACCTTTCAAATGCCCTGGTTTTTTTGGGTTTTTTAGACCCCGCAATAATAGAACCTTGACTGATTAGGAACTTTAAAGAACATCAGGTTAGTAACGCCAATAATCTTTCGTAACAAAGGTTTTTTATCCCTGAAAAAAAAAAGGAATTTTTTAGAAAAGAAGGGAAAAAAAAAGCCCGGGGAAAAAAAAAAAAACACACACCTTACCTACTACAAAAATAAAATAATATATATATTTCTCTTGTAATTGTTTTAGGTTATAATTATTCTTGCATTATATTTCTACATTAATTTTTGTTAGTTGTAGAGCCCCGAAAAAATTTTAAAAAAAAACCATTTTTAACTTTGTTTTTTTTTTTACTCCCTATTCACCCCCCCCCCTCTTTTAAAGATGCCATGTTTTCATGTCTTTTTTGGGGAAAAATTTTAAAATTTTCTTTTTTTTTCCCAACCCAAAGCCCACTAAGAGGGCAAATAATGTTTAAAAATTATTTCCCTTGGAACATGCCCATATATATTTTACCAAAAAATTAAGAATCTAATAATCCAAATAAATTATTATTTGTTTGGTAAAGAGCAACACCCCCTCTAGACCTGATTTGTAAGCCTAACATCCTCTCTAGTTGGGGTTAACTTGTTTATATCTTTTCCTTTCCCCACAAATTAGCCTCTTCAAATGTTATAACCTAGAGATCAAATTTTAAAATCTGCAAAATAATCAATAAAGGTTTGGACAACAAGAATAGGAATAAAAATAATCCACAAAGGTATATTCAAAAGAAAGGAGGGCGTAGTACTAAACTATAAACGAATCTATTTCTACGACTAGAACGCGCTAAGTCAGCACCTTCGTGCGTTAACTATTCTCACAACTTCTATAATCTCCTTCCTACAACTTCTCTTCTCCTCAACGTCTAAATATAAAAAGCACAATGGAAAGTCCTTCCACTTCAAGTTTCACTCTCCGCCCCTCTACCCCTTATTATTCTTTAAATGTTCAAAATAACTGCTACTCCGTTCCATGTCACATTAGACGTATACCCTAAATCAAGAGAAAAAAAACTATGCTTTTTTTTTAAAGGAGGCTATACCAAGGTGACGTCTCAATATGATACAATTGAAGCCTGTATTTTCCTCTCAATTAGTAATAATTAAAAAACAACTGTTGGCTAAAGGAGTAATCGGAAATATAAAATACAACAAATAAATATATAAGATCATGCTCTTTTGGTTTTACAAAAAACACAAAGCTATATAAAGGAGAAGAGTAACAGTAATAAGTACTCCGCCATGAGGCGGCTAAAGTCGGCTGATCCAAGAACCTTTAGGGGCGTTTGATGTCGTTGTCTTACCAATGGATTTTACAACACCAATTCTCGACCTTCTTCACGCTAATCATCAACGCAATGACACAGTAGAAGGGGCGTGGAATCGTCTATGAAGCTCATTTTTCAGGACAACAAAAGCTCTCGGGCTACCCATCTCGAGGAGGACTTTAACAAAACGCGTTTTGAGGATTTCAAACTCCGACTCGATAATTATTGATTATTGTAATCACCTACAATCTCTGGCGAACAGGTTGGCTGATGTTGATGCTCCGGTAACAAATGGTCGTCTGGTTTTACGTCTCACCGGATCCTTACCAGAGGCGTATGGTGGTATGGTGGACTTTATACAAAATCAAGAGCCTTTGCCCTCCTTTGAGAGTTGTCATTCGAGGCTGAAAATGGTGGAGCGTACCATTAAGGCCCGTCACGCTCGTGAAAATGGTGGTTCTGGTAGCAGGTCCGGTGGTGCCGCCATGGTTGCTGCTCATTCTTCTATGATGTCTGACTCCTCTGCAAGCAACAAACGCAACAACAATAATAAAGGGAGGGGGAATTCGAAAAACAATGGGAAGAAAAAGGCCCAACAAAATTATAATGGGGCCGGTGCTAGTCAGCCGACACACAGCCGACACATCAATCAGACAGTGGCAGCCAGCGTCAGCAGCCTCCCGCCACAGTGCAGCAAGATGTGGCAGGCCTGGTTGGGTGGGTGGACTAATTTCGGGGTGGGTGGACTATTCCGCCTTGCCCTTTTCCCGCTTACTCCTGGCAGCCAAGGCCCAATCCAGCGGCCCAACGTCCTACCTCTCCTGGGTCAGGCTTACTTGGGCCCCGACCTCAAGTTTTCAATGTTGTTGCTCCTTCTGCTTCTAGCTTCACAACCACCAACATTGAGGCCGCTATGCATGCCCTTTCATTCTCTCAACCTGATGGTAACTACTACATGGATACCGGTGCTACATCTCACATGACGGCGGATGCAGATATTCTCTCTTCTTATTTCAATTCAAGCAATAAGCATCATAACATTGTTGTTGGTAGTGGTCATTTACTTCCAATTGTTGGTCACGGTCGCACTACATTGCCTCCCCTTCTCCACCATTTACCCTAAACAATGTGTTACATGCTCCCCAACTCATTAAAAATTTGGTCTCTATTCGTAAATTTACTACTGATAATATGGTTTCTATCTCTTTCGACCCTTTTAGTTTCTCTGTTAATGACTTACAGACGGGGACCAGACTATTGAGATGTGATAGCACTGGGGACTTATATCCACTTTTCTCCAACTCTCAAGCCATTTCTTTCAACAAATCACAATCAATACCCTGCTGCTGAGTATTCCCATCACCTACAAGACGAGCTTTATAGCGCTCAAAAGAAACATCAGATTTATATTTGTGATGAAAAATCCACATAGACCGAATTACATTCACATTAGGAGGTCTAGGCACTAATTCCCAAGTCTTATTATCAATTAAAGCATTAAATTCATCCAACATTGCACTTTTCCAATTATGGTCACTAAGGGCACTAATAGGATTTTTTGGAATAGGAGATATATCCGTTATCCGTAGTGGTGGAAGTGTGGGTAAATTAGAAGAGTATTTTAGGGTTGGGTTTAAAAATGCCAATGCGAGCACTATGGTCATGCGTATTGGAAGCTGGATTTAATTAGGCCTTGGAGTGGTGTGAGGAGGAATGGACAAAGGTGTGGAGTGCATAGACAGGGTTGGGCCAAGGGGAAGAGAGGATGGGCCAGAGGAGTGGACCGGACTACTTGAGGTAGAGTCGTCCAAGTGAGAAGAAGGAGTAGTGGATTGCAGTTGAATTGGGCCCAACGGAGTGGCAGACCGTGTGTGGGCAGCAGGAGAAGCTGCTGAATCTGGGCCCGTGTGAGACTGTGACCCAGAGTGAGAAAGAGAGGACGAGTTGGGCTATGGGTTTGGGTCAGGCTGCAGATTTTATGGTGTGGTAGTTTCAGTGATATAATGTAATACTTGAGGATTAATTATAATGTAATACTTGAGGATTAATATTATCACTCAAAAAATCATAATTTGAAGGTTGTGGGTTGTGTAGTTTGGAAAAAGGAAATTCGATTTCAACACAACGAACATGACGACAAATTATGATTTTACCACTAGACATGTCATAACATTTGGAGCCACGATGATTAGGAGGCGGACCTAAATAAGCACAAGGAGTTGACCTTTCTTGTAATTTATGAATAGTAGAAGAGGGAAATAATGGGAAAAATAAGCAACCAAAAACACGCAAACTCGAATAATTAGGATCACTTTGATAAAGGATTTGAGCGGGTGATTGATAAGCATACGAGAACCTTCCGCTTCGACTGAGGGGGTGTGTTCGAATATATCCCGCATATATTCTATTGTTATTGTATATATGTGACATCCTACTGAATCGAGTCGTTGCATAGAGTCGAGTCGAGTCGGGCCGAACTAGAACCCGGTTCGAGCCATTTAACGCCAGACTGTGGTAGAATGGGATGTAACTTAAAAAAAGTAAGAGAAGTGGATTTACTTGCATAAAACAAAAAGATTAAGGTATAAGGAGTAGGACTTACTTGCACTAAAATAGTAAGTTGAGGTATTAAAATGTAACATGTAGAAAATGTAGGTATTATTTGGTAATTGTACCATACAAATAGGGAAAATATAGGTACTATCTGGTAATTTTAACATACAATTAAAGAGATGGTTGGAGAGTACACGAGACTTTCATTTCATTTCCCTTTCTTCATCTTCATCTTCAACGTCTTCTTCATCTTCATCTTCCTCTTTATCTCCTTCATCTTCTCTTCATCTCCTTCCTTTCTCCATCCATTTTCATGTGATTTAAACACTAAATTCAACCTAGAACTCTATCCAAGTAAGTAGCCTTTCTTAAATTTTAGTGATATTTGTGATAATTTTAGATTGATTTATAGATTTATTATGTATACGGAGAGGGGAGCTCAAAGTAGGAGGAAAAGGAAAGTAAGAAGAAGGCTTTTAAAGCTTCTTTTTGGTGAAAGGTTTGATATCTCTTTTAGAAAGCTCTTTTGGTTGAAGGTTTGATATCTCTTTTAGTTTTTTCACATTTTCTTGCATGAATACTTGTGTAGTGTGTTGATAATGAAAACATATATTACTCAATGTTGAATTAGAGGTCTGTAAATGGTGATAATGCATGGGATGAATTGAATGAATGAAGTAGATATTTTTAGTATCTCAAAGATTTTATTGCTTATTATTGTGGAATCGTGTTCTCATGTCAATGAACCTCTGCATGAAAAGTTGAATTTTCTAATTAAAAATTTTGGTTCCCTTTTTTGAAATTCAATTTAGCTATTTTCAGAACATTTGAGATATTTGAACTCACTTTTATTTTTTGTATGACTGGATTTCACATGATAATTTATTCTCCTCTCCTCCCGTATGATAATTTTAGTATTTGAAAGCATTTTTATTGGCAAGCACAAACAAACAAATAATTGACCTACATTATTATGGCTTCTCTAGGAATTAGTGAAGAGAAAGCATTTTTATTTTTGTTATTAGAGTGTATATTCTTCAAAAGTTATATACTCTAATTTGCCATTATTATTATTTCTTTTTTTAGTAGTTTTTGAAAGGTTAAATTATTTGGAATTCATAATTAAATCGATATTTATTGGAATATCTTTTCTTCATCTAATATAAAACATGATGAATTAAATTATCCATGGTACATTTCGTTGGAATTGAAAAATTAATTAGAATCATGAATAGTAAGAAATTCAATTATTTGGTTTCATAGGTGGCATCATTGAAATTATACATTTCAAACTGAGTAAATATTTATTAAAATTTCATAAAGAAAATGACTTTTTGAATTGCACAGTTTCAAACTGAGAGTAATAATGGAGAAAGAATATTTAGCAACAATTGATTATAGGCATCATTTTAGTATTTTAGATAATTAAAATTAAAACTTTTTTTAAAGGAGTTAAAATTGAGTCAATACACGTTAAAGATTTGTAAAGAAAATCAAATTTCAAAATTTGTACGTTACTTTCTTTAAATGGAAGCAGACGTTAGTTACCTTATATAATTAAGCTTTAATAGGAATTAATTTTTAAAAAAAATTAATGTTCAAAATTTGAATCTTACTTTTTTTTATATAGAAGCAAACGTAAGTTGTCTTATATAATTGAGCTTTAATAGGAATTAATTTTTAAAGAAAATCAACGTTCAAAATTTGAATGTCACCATCTGGAGAGTGGAATTCAAAACGAAATTAAATGCTTCATTTTAGTGGTTTAAAATCTTATAATAAATATTAATTGCCTTTCATAATTCTACATTAACAATGTTAATAATTAATAATACTAATTGTGCAAAAAATGTTATTATTGCATTAATAATACTTATAATATTAGATTTTGATTTTCATATTATTCCTTTTATTACAAACATTATAACCATTAAATTATACAGTTTCACACTGAGAGTAATAATGGAGAAAGAGTATTTTGTAACAATTAAATTATAAACATCATTTAGTATTTTACATAATTAAAATTAAAATTGTGTTTTTTTCTAAAGGAGTTAAAATTGAGTTAGTATACGTTAATGACTCGTAAAGAAAATCAAATCTCAAAAATTTGAATGCTACATTCTTTAAATGGAAGCAAACTTTAGTTGTCTTATATGATTGAGCTTTCATAGAAATTAAAATTGAGTCAACAAATACTAATGATTTTTAAAGAAAATCAATGATCACAATTTGAATGTTGTCTTTTTTAATGGAGACTAGAATTCAAAACGAAATTAAATTCTTCATTTTAGTGATTTAAAATCTTCTAATTTCAAAACGAAATTAAATTCTTCATTTTAGTGATTTAAAATCTTCTAATAAATGTTAATTGCCTTTTATAATCTGCTTAATCATAGTAATTGCGTAAAAAATGTTATTATTACATTAATAATAATTATAATATTAGATTTCAATATTCTTCCTTTTATTATAAATGTTACAAACATTAACCTTTTATTATTTTTTCTAAAATCAACATTAGTTTTTTAAGCTTTTCAAATAAAACAAACGTTTCTTGTGCCTAAAAAAGAAGAAGACATTTTAAAGTGTATATAAAAAAACTCGGTGTTTTTGTTTTTTTTCTCAAGTGCCTTTTGGTATTCTTTTGTTTAATCATTATTGCATGGATTGTTTAAAATCAAACAGACGTTTCTTATACGTAAAGAAGAACAAAGAGAAGAGAATTTGAATTGTTTCTCAATCTCAAAGTGTTTGTTTTCTTCCTCAATGCCCTAAGGTATTACAAGAACTATTTAACGTTTGTGTGTTTATGTGAATAATAAAACTACAATTGCGAAGTTGAAACGTTTAGAATTAGTAGTTTGTCTTTGCAATATCTTTAATATATATAGTTCATGTTGAATGATAAAATTACATTCGATCTTTCATTTCAAATATTATCAGTATAAATATTATCAGTATGACTATGAAAAACTCTTTTCTTCGTGAAATAAATAGAATAAGAGATGATTAGTCGATAATGGTTAGATTTTTCTTTTCTTAAAAGGTTATAACTATTTTTGAAAACCTTTTAGATATTTAGATATTAAGCTTGCTTGATTTGACTTTTTGATGATATAAAACATGATTTTAATGAGTGAAAGTGATGCTTGATGAGTATACGATACTGTCTATGTCTTAAAATGATTTTGTAATGTTTTCATGAATTTTTTAAGCCATGACCAAATAAGAGAGCTCCTGCCCCACCGTCGTTCAATGTGTGTATTTTATTTATTTTTAATTAAAATCTTAATTAATATGTTGGAACAATGAAATCATGCATGCCATTTAAATTTAAGTTGTGTTTAATTTTGACGACTTATATTTTTTATTGATTGATATTGCTGATTAATGATATTTATTTTGGTATTTTATCAATTAAAAAGTGATTTTATGCTATGGACTGATTGGATATTTTTCAAATTATATGGACTGTTTTGAGATATTTTCCAAGGACTTGGTAACATTTCCCTAAGCTTGGAGCGTTATGGAATAAATTTGATAAAATATGGAGTAATTAAGGAGGATTAAAAAACTAATTGAATGATTAATTGAAAATTTTAATTAATTATCACCTATATTGAGGACATGTAACATTTCGACAATATAAGTATTGATATTATAATTGAAACCTTAATTAAGGATTAAGTATGGACTAGAGTAAAGAAAATTAATTAACATTTCCATGTATTCCACGTGGGTCCAATTCATAATAATCAAGGACTTTAAGGATCAAATGGTAAATTAACATTAATTAAGATGATAATTAATCATGATTAGAATTAAGATGATAATTAATCATGATTAGTGTTAATTTGGTGATGACAATAATCTAAATGGTTAGTTATAATTTAACTATTTAGATTAGTAATTATTAGATAATATTTAAATTAATTAGGTGATTAGTTGATAAATAATTATTAAATTAATTAGGTAGTTTATACAATAATTTGGCAATTGAAATGAATTATTGGATTCAACAATCCTCATTAGGTAAATTAATTTATCAATTCATCAATTTAAGTCTCAATTATGAAAATTTAAGAAAGTATGGAATTATGAATTATTTAGATGATATTTTGTTAAATTGAAATTACTGCATTAGGATTTGTGCCGTTTATGAATTAAATGATGATTATGTGAGAATATGATTTTAATTGAATTAAAGTCATGTGAAATGAATTATTAAGTTATAAATGAATATTTTATGAATGGTAACTTTAATATGATTGTATGAAATTATGTTGAAATTGAAAATTTATGTGATTATAAGTATGATTATGTAATTTAATTGTGAAATAGAAGAAATTGTTTATGATAAAATATATTGATATAAAAAATATGAATTTATGAAAAATGAATTTTATGATAAGGAATATTTTTCAGATTGTAAAAGGAATTACTAGAGTAATTATGCGACCGAATTTTTATTATGGACATTGTTATAAATAATGATATGAACTAAATTGTATGTAATAAATATTTTTACTGACCTTAGTCTATTTGGTTGAGTCAATTGTTGTATAGAGGTATGACATATAATAGAAAAAATAATACTGTCTACATATGATATAGGAGGCTAATGAACGCCATTTTATAAAAGCTTATGAACTCCACTCTTATGGACACTAACGAACCTCAATTTTTAGATATGAGCATTTGATTTCGAACGACAGCTCATATGATGTTTTCAAGTCGTAGATTTGTTGTGAAATTCGCTGTCTACTATTTAATTCTTCTAAGTATACTAAAGGTCTAATTAAAAATATAATTTTTATAAATTAATTAAATAATTAAATATATTGTTCATGTGGAAATATACTGAAATATGTAATGCTATGATTTAATATGATTTTATGCTATTAAATGATACATGATTATTGGATTTCATGTTATTGTTGTATTTGAATATTTTACTATGTGACTAAATTATGCTATGAATGTTGAATGTTGTCTGATTATGATAAAATATTGTGTTAGGAGAACGTGTGATATTATGAAAGCTTATGTATATTTTCCCGTTATAAATAGAAAAATAAAAATCATTAAGCTTTATGCTTAGATTGTTGACTTGTCACATGCAAGTTGGTGATATGTTTTTGTCTTATATTATTTAAATTTTTAAAAATTTATATAAAATTAATGTGAATATAATGGTTAATTAATAAAACAAACAGTGTGTATACATACATATACTTCATATCATCATTTATCTAGATATATAGATATAACAATAAAATATTATATATGTATATTTAAAATTAAAATTTTTAACAAACATAAACAAAAAAAATATTATAAAAAATATATATTTTCTCTTATTTAGTCATCTCCTAAATAAAATAATTTAAATTATAATTAAATAAAATAATTTAAATATAATAATTAGAAATCAAATATTAGAAATAAATTTAAAAAATAAAATATAAAAAATTTTAAAATATAAAAAATTTTAAATGTCTTATTCTCATATATGTTTATTAAATAATAAATTTCAAAAAGATAAAATTTAAAATTTAGTAAAACTTAATTATTTATATGTATTTATCTAAAAATTAAAATAAATTATATCCAATCAATTAATAAAATATAATTTTCTAATTGGTCATAATTAAAGTTATTTTAGAATGTTCAAATTTCATTAAGGGCGCTATCAGAAATCCCGTTATTTCCCATATTCTCACGTTTATATATAGTATAGATAAATATAAATTTTAATAGTCTACGAGGTTGAGATTTATTCCCTTCATCTACAAATAATTGTCATATTTGCATTTTTATTATCCTTTAAGAAAAATATTTAATTTGTTTAAATCATTGAATATACCGATTATATTGCTCTTATTTACAATAAAGAGAAAATGATTTTTGAGAATTATACCAATTAGTATTTGCCATTTACAAATGGTAAAAATGGAAAAGAATTATTATTTCTAAACTCCACAAATATGATACTTATTCGTAGACATGGTATTTTCGTAAATGTGACACTTATTTGTAGACAGAGGGAACATTAGTATAGAGCAATATGGCACCAAACTCAATGAAAAATTGTGGATAACTTATCCCTTTCTCTGTTTTTTGTGCTCATGGATTTTCTATTCCTAATTCAGATAATTTTTTACATATTTTTTTTTTATTATGTTTAGATGAGACAACAATATCAGAAGAAAGAAAATAAGGAGAAAAATTAAAATCGCTTTTACTTTATTAGGAATAAGAAGAAAAATATTGAAGGAAATGAAATGTGTACAAAATTTCTCTTGGCCTCACCAAAATTGAATCTTTCCAAAGTTGGAGTGAAAATAAGACATTGAAGGGAAGATTATCCACAAGTAATTACAATATCTATACATATTCTGAGTTTTAAAATATATAAGAATAAGGTCAGAATTGTAAAATTATAGTTTAAAAAACGAGAGAATATATATGAAATATAATATAATATATATTATATATATTTTTTTTTTTTCCTCCCCATGGAAATAAGACAGAAGAAAAATAATTAGAAATTTTTTGTACTATTATTCATTCCCTATTTTCTTTTTTTCCATCTAGCTTATTCCTCTCTAAATATCAAGACAAAGTGTTTATGCTTTTATGTAGAAATCATGGTTGAGTTATTCAGATTTCATAACAAAGTTACAAAAATGTAGGCATTTAATATAGAGAGGTAAATGGTATATATTTTTTTTTTTCCTCCCATGGAAATAAGACAGAAGAAAAATAATTGAATTTTTTGTACTATTTTCATTCCCTATTTTCTTTTTTCCATTAGCTTATTTCCTCTCTAATCCAAACAAAGTGTTTATGCTTTTATGTAGAATCATGGTTGAGTTATTCAGATTTCATAACAAAGTTACAAAATGTAGGCATTAATATAGAGAGGTAAATGGTTAAAATGGGGAAAAAAAAAGGACTAGTAGGTCCTAAGTTCAGAATAATTATTCCCCTTTTCTTCAAATTTGATTTCGCCATTGTTCTCCTTTCATTTTCTTCATCTTGACTTCGTCACCGATTATTTTAATTTCTTTTCTAATTTTTTTCCAAGTCAATATTTTTAATTTATAGAATTTTTAAATAGATGATTTTAGACAAATATAAATGATATAATCAAGAAGGGAAAATAAAATTCTGCAACAGCTAATTAAGGTAGCATAAAATAAAGGAATTTGAAGAAACATTGAAAAATATTTAGTAAATTAAACATATTTATATATTTCTTCTATATATACATATTTTACATATAAAATTTACTATTATTATCACAATTTAAATATCCTAAATTCTCACACAGCATGGTAAAAAAAAAAAAAAGAAGACAAAATAAAAAAAAGAAAAATACTAATTTCGCCACTACCGGTCCACCGAGTTAAATGTATGACTAAGAATTGTCATTGGAATTATGTGGTCCCCTTTGGAGACTAACCAACGAGAAGTAAGCTCCAGTGGGTCCCTTACCCAACAAAGACGAGTGGGTCCCTTGTTCAACGACCTGCCCTTTATCCAAAACGGCAATAAGATCACAGCTCTGTATGGTACTAAGCCTATGTGCTACAACCACACTTGTCCTCCCAACCATCACGCGCTCTAGCGCGTCTTGGACCACCTTTTCTGATTGGCTATCTAGCGCACTAGTAGCCTCATCTAATAGCAAAACCGATGGATTTTTCAGTATTGCACGCGCTATTGCAATACGTTGCTTCTGCCCTCCTGATAGTTGCACTCCTCTGTCCCCACACCACGTGTCGTATCCATCCCGTAATCCAGCGATGAAATCATGAGCGTTCGCTGCCTTAGCGGCCTCGATGATCTCTGATTCATCGATTTTATCCGATGTACCGTACACTATGTTTTCCTTGATTGTGCCCGCAAATAATGTAGGTTCTTGACTAACTAGAGCAATGTATTTCCTCAATGATCTCAATTGATATGATCTTATATCTCGACCGTCAATTTTCACAACGCCCTTAAGTGGATCGTAAAATCTCTCAATTAATCCAATTATAGTTGATTTTCCTGAACCACTTTGTCCAACCAATGCTGTTGATTTCCCTGCTTCAATTTTAATTGAGAAGCTTTTGAAGATTATCACATTGGGCCTAGCTGGATATGCAAAGTCCACATCTCGAAGCTCGACATTGCCCATTATGGTTTCAGGCTCAAAACCGTCGGGGTCTTGGGGCTCAATTTTTGTATACCGGTCTAATACAGCAAAGACAGATCCAACGGCGTCCGCGCCCTTGGCTAAGTCCGTGGTCATGCTTCCAGCATCGGCTATGACACGGCCTGTGCTCACCAACACCATGAACGTCTCAAATAGGTCTTTCGCAGTTATGTACCCTTGTGAAATGAGCTTTCCACCATACCAAAAGTCAAGAGCCCATGTACAAGACATTAAGCTTTGGGAGGTGCCAAGCCCAATACCTGCAAACAATGATTGTCTTATGCTTTCCCTTTGAGGGCCTTCTTGGGCTTTTTCGAGCATTTTCAGGATCCGATCTTGGGAGGAGAAGGCAGTAATGGTCCGAAGGTTGGACACTGCCTCTCCGGCGATCTTGCTGCTCTCATCTTGGGCTTTAATGGCTCTCTGGGACATGCTTTTGAGCAGAACTCGGCGCGTATAAAAGCAAACAATAATTAAGGGTTGGACCGCTATCATCACAACAGCAAGCCTCCAAGCAATTACAAGGCCCATAGTGCAGGCTAAGATTACAGCTGAGACTGTTTGTACAACAAGAGCCACTCTATCACCTACTAGAGACCTCACCTGCTCATCAATAAAATCAAATATTCAGCCCATAGAAGTCTAAAACCGAATCAATTGTTGGTTTGGTTGTATCATTCGAGTAAAATAATAATAATGAATCTTAAATAATTAAACTAAGACAAAAAGAGTATAACTAAGATTGTTAAAGAACTCGAATACGGTAACTCAGTGGCAAAAAGCATTTGCAAGATTAATTACCATGGCTCATGTCATGAGTTCAATCTTTCGTAACACAAACTCCTTAAGGTCAACCATTCTGTGAACCGTTAAAATGGACATGGGTGAATATAATATTTGCAATTTGCAGCTAGATGAACTGTCCTGACTGTTAAGTCTTTCTCATATACCAGCTGTTACAGAGTTATTATGCTGAGGAATCTATAGGACCCATTATTCCCTTTGAAATGAAACGACAAAGTACAAAGTCCTTTCTCAACGATTCAACAATAGGTATGGCCCTAATGGGAAGCATTACTACGACCTCCATTTCTCATCTTTGCCCACAAATGTGAGGTTTGGGCATCGAGTCAAAAAGCTTGTCAAAATCATAACCCACTGAAAACTTCAAAGTTGACTTGTCAAATACAGATGTGTTCTTCTTTCTTTCATCTTATAATGTTAGCTAAGACTTAGTTATAGCTTTTTGCATTATAATAATATGGAATAAACAAATGAATTATAGGAATTTCTCCTTTTTTGTTTTGTTTTGTTGACGACATGTCAAGTATATAATAGTGATTTGAAAACTCAGATTCAAGACAGTCTATTCTCTGTATCAACCCTCAATACGAGAAATAATTAGGTTTGGTCTAATTAGACCGCTAATTTAATGGCATGTTTTTTTTTTTAATTAAGTCAAATTTTAATTAAAACTATCAAATTTCATACTCAATGTGGAGATAAAAATTAGGTAGCAAGAGGTAGAGGGAGTAAGGACTGGGGCAGCCCAGGCCCCACAAACTCTAAAACTTTTTCTAGTTTTGCTTTATAAATAGTGAAAAAAAAAATTCTTCACTTGGTCCTCTTTATTTTTGAAAAATGTTCTTTGCCCCTCAAATTCTTAAGTCTAGCTCTACACCCTGAAAGTAGCAACACCTAACAGTGGATAAAGCTTGCTTAGCTAACAAATTGTGATTATGAACATGTTTATATAAATAAAAGAGAATACGTACCACATTGGCATCTTTGGCAAGTCTAGAGCAAATTGCACCACTAGAATTCTCATCTTGATCAAACCAACCAACTTCAAAAGTGAGTATCTTTGAAAGCATCCTCTCTCTTATCCTCTTGGTCAAATATTCACCCATATATGCAAAATTGTAATGTTGAACGATGTTAACAATCAGTGAGAAGATTGCTAGCCCCAGAAAGATTAATGCATACATCCTTATTTGTTCCTTGATCTCATTATGGTCCTTCAAAAAATATATAGATATCATTGACCCCATTGAAAATGCATATACTGGCTGAACTCCTCCAAATAATATTGCCCCTAAACATCCAAAACTTGCTTGTTTCCACTCTGGCAAGTTCAATGCTAGCAATCTCCGAAATGAGGGTACCGGAAATTTTTGCTCTTCCTCTACCTGTACATTTTCTCCAGCAAAGGAAGCTCCACTTGGAGCCATTGAATTATTAGAACTTGATCTACTCACTAGCGATAATCTTCGACTACTTGTGTTATTCATGTCCATTTTGGAAATTAAAGAAGAGGAAGCTGTCAAGTGATCATCTTCCGTAGTTTTATCTTTTTCTGTTTGTTGAAGACGGACTAATGAAGTGTATAGTCCATCTTCATTTTCAATTAATTCATCATGAGACCCTGTTTCCATAATCTGGCCATTTTGAACAACAGCGATCACATCAGCATTTCTAATGGTGGAGAGACGGTGAGCAATGACAATGGTGGTGCGCCCTACAGCAGCCTTGTCTAGGGCCTCTTGGACAATACGTTCAGATTCAGAGTCCAATGCACTTGTTGCCTCATCAAGAAGGAGGATTCTTGGTGCCTTGATTATCGCTCTTGCAATGGCAATTCTTTGTTTTTGTCCTCCTGACATTTGAATTCCTCTCTCGCCAACCTGTTAATCATGTATTAGTTATATATTTTCATTAGAAGACAAATCATGGATTAAATTTATGATTTAAGACAAGATAGAACATGTCTAACTGTCCATACAGTGGTGTACAGTCTTGCTTTAGTTTAGCACAAAAAGTAGGTTCTTTATCATGATATTAGTTTATAGTTCATGTAAGAAACTCTAGTTGAATGATTAAGAGTTGCATGTTGTCTAGTTTATTATTCATCAAACACACTCTTTCTTTTCTTAAAAAAAAGTGTGAATCAAAAGTGATAATATATATATATATAATATTATTGGATTAATGCTTGGGTAATAAAAAAAGCAAAAAAAAGTTAAAAGCTTATACTATTCTGCTTTAAAACTTTATTATATACCAGAAAAATAAAAATTGCAAGAGAAGAAACGTTCAGTGCATTGTTCATAAACGGTTGGGGAACCAGGAAACATGATATGTGGGTGGGTGTCCTTATCTTGCTCCAATTTATGACCTGAAGCACGTTCCCACTTTTAAAGGTATTCCTTGATCCTCACTTTATCATATACTATTTCTTTTCTGTGAAGGCTTTCAGTTTCAAGATAGAAGGTGCATAAAACAACAAAAATAAATATATAAATAAATAGAGTGGTTATCTCGGTCACATGACTCGTGCAACTCTGAAATCAAATGATGGAAACACACATGGGTGCCCATTTTTAGGACTTGGGAAAGCAATATATGGCATCTTGCAGGAAAGGTATGGGAGTAATTTAATTATGTGGGGGGTCCATAAACCATTATCTAGAATTGATTGGCAATAATTTCCAAGAAAAATTAAAGTACTATATGGTGTAGAAAGTACTTGATAGACAATAAAACATAAATAATGAATAGTTATTGATGACAAGTTGTCGTTTTGTGAAGAATCACAAATTTTAATTATGAATGTGTGTATAAAAGCATAAAAAATGTTGCAAGTCAAATGTTTTATACTTTGTAGTATAGTGGGTGATGGTGTAGTTTATGTGAAAAGGACAAGCAGAACTAACCTGAGTATCATAACCATTAGGCAACTGACAAATGAAATTATGAGCATTAGAAGCTTTAGCAGCTTCAATAACTTGTTCTATCGTGGCATCTTCTTTGCCAAATAGTATGTTTTCTTTAATACTTGTTGCAAATAGTGCTGGTTCTTGGCTCACTAAACCCATTTGTGACCTTAGCCACTTGAGTTGCAACTTGTCAATAGAAACCCCATCAACAAGTATTTCCCCACCAAGTGGGTCATAAAATCTTTGCAGTAGTGCTATTACTGTTGATTTGCCTGAACCACTACCTCCCACCAAAGCCACAGTCCTGCCTGCAGGAATATTTAGGCTAAAATCTTTCAAAGTTATACTTTCTGGCCTTGATGGGTATGCAAATTCTACATGCTTAAATTCAACTTCGCCTCTTACATTTTCCAAAATTTCACCTTCCATATTTTCTAAATCAATTTTTGGTACTCTTCTTATCACTTCCATTATTCTTTCTCCAGCTGAACATGCTTCAGAGAAATACTTCACATTGGATAAGCCAGCACCGAGGGCTCTGATATCGGACCAAAGACCAAAAAGAAAAGGAAAGAAAATGAATAGAAAGAAATCAAACATATAGGGAAAAAAATTATTGAATTTTAAAATTTAACATGGAAATGAAAAGTTGTTGCTGGTCAAAAATTAATGTTCGAGTTGTCATATAGCATAAGATTTCAGAGCCTCAAACCCAACTCAAGTCATTAATTTCAATTTTTGCCATCATACGAGGCATTTACACCCTAGAAAATAGGATACTCCACTAGCAATTTTATTTTATTACCATAATAGGAAAAAAAAAAAAAAAAAACATATCCAAAGATTATTGAAGAAACTGTCAAGAAACTTACAATCCACCAACAGCAATAGAAGCACCAACAGCAAAAACAGTTCCTCCACGAGCATCATGGTACATGACCAATCTGCTGCCATAATAAGACATGAAAGCCCAAATAGCAAAAACAACACCGTTGCTTCCAATGGCCAAGCCCTTAGCTAGACCCTGTTTGAGTCCCAGCTTCACTGAAAATTCAAGAGCTGCAGAGTATGCAGATATAGTTTTGCTTTCCCCAACAAAGGCATACACAGTCCTAATTGAAGATATTGCCTGCTCAGCTATCGTACCTGCCTTATTATATTCTTCTCTTATCTTTCTTGCCAATTCCATCAAAGTCCTCCCATATATCAAACCAGGAATCACCAAAAGGATAATAAAAGGAAACCCCACAATTGCTAGCCTCCAGAGCATCACAAACCCAGCAATGTAGCAACCGAAGAACATGGAAGCATTCATCAGAAAATTTGGTACCTGATTTGGCATAACAAACATCAAAATTTAGTTCAATTTGATGTAAGTACTGAAATCTTACTCATAAGCTTTGGCTAATTTGATAAACTTGCTTCCAGGATTGTAAGGTTACAGTTCTGAACCAATTTAAAACCAAAATTAACCCATAAAAAAAATGGAAAATTTTTTTTGTTCGATGCAAGGTGAAATTAATTCAATGTCAAACCTTTTCACTTAGAACATCTTGAATTACTAGGCTATCATTTGAAACACTTGTAATGACCTCTGCTGTACTTGTTACATGCAAATCAAAATAACCCACTTCTTGTCTTAGTACTGCTTTCAAATACCTCGCCCGCATTCTGGTAGCTTGCCTTTCTCCTGTTCTTGTCCAACAATATCCCTCTGGTAATAATCCAGGACAGATGAACCCAAATAAATTAAAAACAATATGTAATTCACGAAAAATATCATACAACTAATACTAATCATTGAATTTGGTCAAACCCACCTAAGAAACAAACAACCCATTGTCCAACAGCCACATAACAAAGCGCCACCGCGTTCTGCCAATCCAAAAATGTATTAGTTAGGTGCAATACGAAGGAAAAAGGCCATAAATATAGAGAAAGTCAAAAGAAATAAATAATTTTTCAAAAGTAACCTTGTTGATGTTCTGAGAGAAATTATTTGCAGAAGGAGAAGCACCGCCAATATTGTTCATTAATTTACTAGTTACAAGCAACACTAGTGGGGTAGAAAATCCATCTCCAATGGATCCAATAAACCCAAGAATCATCAACAACGAATCTACACGGTCTGCATGCATGAAAATCGATTTAATGGACCCAAGATTACTGCTTTTCTTCTTATCAGTGCCCATGTTTAAACCAACAATAGCTACTTCGTACACTCTCTGTGAAGACACAGAGTGAGAGAGAGAAAATTGGAGTTACAGCACTTCTGGTGTTGGAGACTATGACCACCGGCTGTTTGCTCCCAAAAGGATTATGTCCTACACTACTCACAAGGTGCAAATTTGGAGACAATCCCCTTCAATATGGGTGGTGTGTGTATATATATACATATACACAGGTACAGCCATGAGTGAGGATCGCCAAATACTACTATTCAAATTTGGGAAAAATATTTACCTATAGGCTATAGCTGTTGTAAAGTCCACCTATAAGCCAACCAATAGAGTTATTTGATACTCCTACGTTTTTTGAGTAACTTCCCTTTAAAAATAACTTACTTTTAAAAAATATTTTCTAATAAAAGTTTTCCCTTCAAAATTATTTTCTAAATGATTTATTTTAAACAATAATAATAATAATAATTGATTAAAAAAATATTAAAATCTAACTCAAAAGACAATAAAAATATTTATAATAATAAAAATTTCGTATTTTAAAATTTTTATGGTTAAAAATATGAAAAAATATAAAAAATGATTTGAAAGTGATCGATAATCGATAGTGGTGACCGGTAATAATAGCTACCGAGATTAATAAATATTTTCTTCACTTGAAAATGATAATCGACTTAGTTTTCCTTCAGTTAAAAAATATTTTTCATTGACTTAGTTTCCTGAATGCCCTAAACAAAGAAAAATTATTTAAAATATTTATTGCAAATTATTTTACGGAAACAAAATGGAGCCTAAATTTCGTCAATTTCTCTTTTATTACCTTAATTCTTCATTAAAAATTGAATTTTAATTAATTTCAAAAAGAATTTAGTAGCAATCATGTAATTATTATAAAATAATTTAGATTTTATTAATTGTTAATATAAAGACATTAAAAAAATGACTAAAAATTATGGTTTAAAAATAATAATTATAAAAATTAAAGTTGATAAAAATTATGAAATAGAAAAAGTATAAAGAATATGGATTTTTTTTTTTTTGCTAAAAAAAAGAAATAGTGAAAAATAGTTATATATTATTCTTAAATGAATCTATTCATCCACCAACCTCTAATTACTTGCCCATTTAAAAAATTATTGTTCTTTATTATTTTATTTTGAGTCAAAAGCCAATGACATTATTATTTATAACAAATTAATATTTTTATTAAATTACACCAAGGGTAGCTAATTGGATAATGGCAACATATGTCTGTGTGATATATTTAGGAAATACTGATTTTTTTTCACCGATAGTTGATATTATAAATCAATGGATTTCCAATATTGGTTAAGCAAGCGGGTAAGTCATACAATATGGATAGCCGTAGTTAAAGGACTTGACTTCGAGAGTCGAAATCTCTCACTTTTCATATAAGTGATATTATCAAGACCACATTTGGTCGACAAGAAGAAAAAAGGGAATTGAATTTAAGTGTACGTATAAGTCGCATTTCTATTTATTGTTAATTAGTTTATATATCACTTTTAAATTTATTATTTTTGAAAAAAAAAAATCAATTTTCATACATTTTTATTAAATCATTTTTTAATAATTTGGATTCTGTTACTAGATTACATCTTTATAAAAAGCTAATTAGTATCCATTTTACATAGATTTAGCTAATAATTTTCATTTAAAAAATTATTACTTTCATTTCTAACAGGTATGTATGTTTCTATATATCTTGTATGAGAACTGAATTCTACTTAAATTTCATTATTAGTGTTCAAAGAAAATTAATTAATGATACTATATATATTTTATTAGTGACCAATGTGTATTTTATCAGGGGGTTCATTTATAATATTATAAGGGCAAATGAGTAAATATGTGGGATATAGATATATATATATATATATATATTTTTTTCCCGTTTGGCCAGTTGATTTCAACGATTCCCTTGTTCCCTATATAAACCCTTTTTTTATTCATTGTGAAGGGTAATACTCTCAATTAATGTCAATTAATATATAGAAATTATTTTTTTAAAATGGACGGTGAAAATAGTCTATATTGCTTTTGGATTATTTAGCTTGAAATGAAGGATTAAAAAGTAAAGAAAAGGTTTGATCTAAAGATTAGAAAACATTGAAAGAAAATAAGAAACATTTAGGTTTGGCTTGTTGTCGTTTCGTATTTGTTCATTGTGACTATTTAAAAAAATGGTGGATTTTTTAATCATATAAGGATAGGTAAAATAAAGTTGAATGAACACGTGCTTAGAAAAAAGCAAAAAAAATCATTGATGAATTTTAATCCTCTCCCAGAATTTCTGATGGCGTCATTAATGACGCCACTTGATTTCTAGGCCCACTTGGACAAGATTACCATTAAAACCACACACACACACACACACACACACACACACACACACAGATATATATATAAAATGAAAAGTTGATGACACGTGCTTAGAAAAAGCAAAAAAAATCATTGAATGAATTTTAATCCTCTCCCAGACATTTCTTGATGGTCATTAATGACGCCACTTGATTTCTAGGGCCCACTTTGGACAAGATTACATTTAAAAACCACACACACCACACACACCCACACACACACACACCAAAAATATCATATAATCTAAATTATATATATATATATATAATATATTATATATATATAATATATATATATATTATATATATATATTATTATATATATATATAAGTAGAGCATATATATATAAGTAGAGCAATTTGCATTACTTAGACGTTAAGTGTAATCCTTTAAAATTACCAAATATGAAGAGAACAATAATTATTTAGCATGGTTGTAAGAAGATAAGATGCAATGAATTTAGCACGGTTGTAAGAAGATAAGATGCAATGACAATAATTATAAGAAGATAAGTTATTTTATATTTTTATATAATCTGTTTATCATGATAATATCTATTAGTTACATCCCATCAAGATAATATATTAAATTAAATTAAAATTTAATTAAAATATAAATAATCTAAGCCATAAAATAAAAAAGTACTTAATTTCTTATTTTAATGATTACCTTGGTGTATGGGGTATTCTTATATACTAGGAGTTGGATTGCACGAACAAGAGATATGAAACATACGAGATATATGACAATAAATAAACAATCATTTATAATAAATAAAAAATATAAAACAAAAAATACATATTTTTTATTTTAATATAATTAGTTTAAATGAATAAATAAAAATATAAAAACCAAAAATACATATTTTTATTTAATATAATAGTTTAAATAAATTTAAATTAAAAAGACAATAACCAAAATCATTTATAATAAATAAAAAATATAAAACAAAAAATACATATTTTTTATTTTAATATAATTAGTTTAAATTAAAATTAAATTAAAGTACATATAACCAAACTATAAAATAAAAAATATTTAATTTTTTATTTTAATGATTATCTTGACGTATGAGGTAGTTTTATATGCCAAAAGCTAGGTTGTATAGACACAGGACACGATATACGGGAACGTACATGATATAATAATAAATAAACAATCATTTATAATAAATAATAAACATAAAATAAAAAATACTTAATTTTTTATTTCAATAGAATTAGTTAAATTCTCAAAATTATTATCACTATTGAAAAATCTATATAATATATAAAAGCATGGTAGCCAAATATATGTAGCACAATTTGCCACTTGACATTATTTATTATAAAATTAATAAGTAATCCACACGCTTAAAAAGAGCGTGAATAAATAATACATTACTATTAAATAAACAATATATAAACAATTTAAAAATATATAAACTGGAACGTACGAGATACGACAATTTTTAAAAAAGCAGGACATCCATACACTTAGGACACACTACACTAAATAATTAATACATCAATATTTCAAATAAATAAACAACAGTTTATAATAAATTATAAACATAAAATAAATATAAAAAATTTAATTTTTTTTATTTCAATGACACAAAAAATATCCAAAAATATTTCATTTTTTATTAGTAATAAAAAATCTTGGTTAATTAACTTGGTGTATAGAGTAGTCTCATATACCAGGAGCTGAGTTGCATGGAATCGGGACATGAGATACATAACGTACGGAATACGATAATTTTTAAAAAATGTAGGACGTTCACTCGCTTAAAACATTCTATATTAAACAAGTAATACATTAATATTTTAAATAAATAAATAATCATTTATAATAAACATAAAATAAAAAACACTAAATTTCTGAATTCAATGACACAAAAACAAATAAAAAAAACACTTCATTTTTATTGGTAATAAAAAAATTTTAGTTGATTAGCTTGATGTATAGAGTACTCTCATATACTAGGAGCTAGGTTGCACAAACACAGGACACGAGATATAAGAATGTATAAGATACGATAATTTTTAATAAATGTAGGACATCCACACGCTTAGGATACAGTACACTAAATAAGTAATACATTAATATTTTAAATAAATAAATATTTATTTATAATAAATTATAAACACAAAATAAAAAAAAACTTAATTTCTTATTTCAATAACATAAAAACAATTAAAAAAAACTTTATTTTTTATTACTAATAAAAAAAACCTTGGTTAATTAGCTTGTTACTAATAAAAAAAACCTTGGTAATTAGGCTTGGGTGTATAGAGTAGTCTCATATGCCAAGAGCTTTGCACAAGGAAACGGATATAATAATTTTAAAAATGTATTGATATTCTACACCCTTAGGACATAGTACACTAAATAAGTAATACATTAATATTTCAAATAAATAAATAAAATAAATAATCATTTATAATAAATCATAAACATAAAATAAAAAAATACTTAATTTCTTATTTTAATGACACAAAAGCAAATTAAAAAAAATACTTCTTTTTTATTTGTAATAAAAAAAATCTTGGTTGATTAGTTTGGTGTAAGGAGTAGTCTCATATACCAGGATCTAGGTTGCACGAACACGGAACATGAGATATGAAAATGTACGGATACGACAATTTTTAAAAGTAGGATATCCATATACTTAGGATACACTACACTAAATAAGTAATACATTAATATTTCAAATAAATAAATAATCATTTATAATAAATCATCATATAAAATAAAAAATACTTATTATAATAAATCATAAATATAAAATAAAAAATACTTATTTTTTTATTTTAATATAATTAGTTAAATTCTAAAAA